CTTGGGAACTGAGGCCTGGTTGGAGGCCTGTCCCTACCTGTGCAGTGGGAGAGGAGCACGAGGAGGAGAGGAGTCCAGGCCATGGTGCCCACAGCCCCTGAGCCCACAGTGGGGCTGGGCTCCCCAGGCCCCCTTTTCTTCCCCACCCTCTGCCACAGGAGGGGCTTCCATGCAAATGTGAGTCCCTCCCCTGAGTGCCAGCCCCTCCCTGCGCCCTGGGGCTGCAGCTCAGCTCACACCCCACACTGGGGGTGGGTGGGTGGAGGTTGATTTCACCTCTTGGGGAGAGTCCTGGGAGGAAGCACCTGCTGAGACAACACAAAAATTTCCCTCAGAAGACTTTTCCAGGCCAGAGAAAACCTCTTTGAGTCCCCTTCAGGAAGTACTAGGCCCAGTCACCTTTGAGTGAAACATCCTCCTGAGCAGCCATCCCAGGGCGTCTTATCGCGCCCCCTACTGGTGGCAGGGCGCACACCTCCCCGTGGCCCAAAGGCCTGAGAGCCCAGCTGGTTTCTGTGGTTCACCGGGCCACTCACTCTATTCACACACCTACGGTCTGATTTCCATATATCGTGATTCTGACACACTGTAGTGATTACTATCTCTCTCCCAGGTGTCCCCATCTGTGGGAGGTTCTAAAATGTACATAAATGACCAGTTGATTTGGTTTCCCTTTCAGTGAAAATGTTGCAAAGTAAATGCACAGGCCCTGTGAGTCTAGAGTGTGGGAACCACTGGACCATTTGCACAGTTAAAGCAGAGTTGGGTTCGGGCTCAGTGAGGATGTGACAGGTTCTGCCTCAACTGCCCAGACCTTCAGCACATCTGCAGGCACATCACAAACTCCCATTTAGCTTGTTATAAAACTAACAGTGAGTAACGAAATACAGGTAGGGCATTCATTGCTTTAAATATAACCAAGTTTTAGGACTCAACAGAAAATCTTGACACGAAATACATGACACAAATACGCAGGACACTACAAACTAAGAGTAAATGGTAAATCCTAAAATAAACGACTAGGACGGGGTAACCCAGCTCGCGGCGGGACGCTGTCGCTAAGGCACTCAGAGGAGTCTTTCTCGCTCAGCTAAGGCAGGCGGCCCCCGCTTATAGCCCCGCACGCGTCCTCTCTGCTGCTCCCGTGAACCCCCTTCCTCAGCTGCCCTCCGAGGCCGTCGTGGTCTGGTCCTGCCCCCTGTACACCCGCCTTGCAGCCTGGCCTCTTGTTCTCAGACCTCCGGCTTCTCCCACATCCTGTTACTTTAACACCCCACATTCTTGTCCCTTCCTGGTGTCCAAGCCAACTCCCCTGTCCCGCCCTCTGTCATCCTCCCTCATGGCTCCAACCCTTTCAGACTGGCTCCTTTCACTTAGGAATAGGAGTGTTGCCGGGCTGGTGTGGCTCAGCGGTTGAGCGTCGACCTAGGATCCAGGCGATCAGGGTTCGATTCCCGGTCAGGGGCACAGGCCCCGGCTGCAGGGTCGATCCCCAGGCGGGGGCGTGCAGGAGGCAGCCGATCAATGATTCTCATCATTGGTGTTTCTCTCTCTCTCCCTCTCCTTTCGTCTCTCTGAAATCAATAAAGATATATTTTTTAAAAAGAAATAGGAGTGTAATGTCCCTCCGTTAATCGCTGAGTCACTTTCCACCGTGGAGATGTTCACTGTCGTTTTTCTCATTCACCTCTTGGAGGGCATATCTGGTGCTTTTAAGTTTTAACAGGCATACATAGGAAGCTATGAACAGTACATGCATATTCTCATGTGAACGCGACTAACTGATTTAGGTAGATACCTATGAGTGTGGTTTCTGTAAGATACCACATAAGAGTTTGTTCAGCTTTGTAAGAAACTGCCAAACTCTTAAAAAGAGGTCATGCTATCTGTTCATGAAATTTATTATTTCCAAGCAGCATGAATGAGAGATCCTGCTGCCTCACACCCCGGGAGCATCTAATGTCATCCGTGTATTGAGTTTTAGCCATTGTAACGGAAGCCTAGTGGTAAGTCATTGTTTAAATCTGTAATGCCCCAATGACAGGCTACAGTGAGTATATTTTCACGTGTTGATTTGCATATGTACATTGTCCTTGGTAATGAATCTGTTAAGTCTACTCAGTGGGGAGGCACTGCCAGTACCTGGAAATTCAGGAGCTCCACAAAGCTCTAAGATTGAGTGGCACAGAGCAACCCACCTTCTCTACAGCTTCAGAGCTCAGGGAACCATCAGTAAAGCCTAGGCTGGTACCAGGGGACACATAGGAGGCTGGCAAGAGAGCCACCTAGTCTTCTAATTTCCTTCTCATCTCTACCCAGCTATTTGGGGTTATTTTGCTTCTGGAAACAAGAGTAATTCTGTTTGCATCAGGAGACCCATATCTTCAAATGCAGACATTTTTATTGACCCTATGAAAACAGAGTTGAGAACCTGAAGCCCTCTGTGTTAATAGCACAAGTGACGGCAGAAGCCCAAACCTGAGCAGATGTTGGTCACAGGCAGTACCAGGGGAGTGATGGGTCAGACAGGGAAGCGGAGGACCAATATTGTCAAACCTCCCGATGAAACAGCATCTCTTTGGGGTGTTGGGGTTGTGTTCAGCTCCATAAGAGAGATAATCAGCCTCCTCCTCAGACTGCAGGCCACAGGTGGTCAGAGAGGTCCAGGTGATAAACCTAGATCCGGAGAATCGGGTTGAGACCCCTGCAAGGCCTGTCCCTCTGCTGTCCTTAGTCACAAGCAAGGGGCACTGCTCAAGAGCCTCTGGCACCTCTGCCAGAGCACCGCCCAACGTGTCTGCTGCTCCCCGTACAAGAGAATGGGCTCATCAAGGGCTCTTCTGGAAAAATGACACAGGCACACATTGGAAGTTCCTGCTCCTGATCTGCAGTTCCCTCTGCTCCTAGGAGAACCGCTCTTGAAGGCACCACCAGCACTAACAACCACAATAAATAGGCATTGACGAGCACACAGAACCTGACTTCTCCATTTATTTACTCACATCTTGGGGTTATTGTCAAATTCAGCTGCTAGGAAAGGGATGTTCCATATTCTTTTTAGAACTCTCTCTCTCTTTTATTAACGGCAAAGGCCCAGAGGGACAGCAGACTCACAGACACTCCTCTAGCACAGTGCTGTGTGAAAATGGCTCGGGGCTGGGTGTGGGTGCCGAGTGCTGTGGAGCAGAAGCCAGAGCAAATCATTCCCCCTTGAGGTTACAGTGACCTGGCAATGACCTGGTTCCTGGTGGGCTATGATTGCTGCATGGGGTAAACCAAGGGACGAAGAACAGAATGTGAAATCCCTGTGGCCACTGAAGAGATAAGGCCCGAGAGGAGGCATGTGGCGTCAGGAGCACAGGGGGGTCACCCTGGAGAAGGGGTGTTGGTGTGATGTTGGGGCTCACTTTGCCTGTGCAGGTGTTTGATCCTGGAGATGTGGGAGTCAATGGGGATTTTACACACACCAGACAGCTTGTTTTGAGCCAGACGTCTTNCTGGAGATGTGGGAGTCCATGGGGATTTTACACACACCAGACAGCTTGTTTTGAGCCAGACGTCTTCTGATAAACTGGAACCAGACCAGACAAGAAGAGTTCTGAGGGTCCGAAGGAAGAACATGGCAGTGAGATAGACAGGAAGACAGGCGGGTGGCACAGAAATGAAAGCCCTGTGGTCACAGACTGAGGGTTCAGCTCCTCATAGGCAGCAAGGCTGTATCAAATGCTAACCCTCTTCAGGGTCCTTAGGAGGGATCCCCCTGCGTTCCCCAAATATCTCAGGAAAGCCTGGTGTGTGCCAGACGCCAGTGTGGCTGATCCCCTCCAATGCTATAGGTGAGAAGAAATAGAGGTCACCCAGGACACGGTAACCCCAGCACGTGAATGCCTTTTTACAGCTTACAATATTAATTCTTCCCACTTGTGTGGATTCTGGAAACTGAGACCCCGAAAGTTCTCACATCGCAACATCCCCCTTCCTGTTTTTTCTTCCCAGGCTTTGAGGTCCCTCAAATGTCCCAGCTTCATCAACATCCTGGCATGAGCCTTAGGTCACTCTAAGATGAAGAAGAGAGGTGGCTCTTACACAACCTGCCTCAGGTGTGAGGAAGCCTGACACTGGTGTCTCCTGTACACAAGGGTGTCACACCCACTCACACTTCACTCTGGAAAAGTCCCTTTTTCTCCACATTCCTGGAGCCACAAAGACCCGTGTCTTCTCAGCCTCGGGACGGAAATCACAGTCCCCAGAGACAGGCCACAATGAGCAGATGTAAAGGGGAAGTGACATAACTCTTGGTGCTGGTCCCTGGGAGAGAAGTGAGGGGTAAGCTGGGCCCACTGGCTGACAGGAAGCACTCAGACCACCCAGATCTCTGAGTCAGACTTGGACCCTGGGCTGGACATGGGAAGGTTCAGCTGCTCCTCCCTCAGGCATCATCCCCAAAGGAGAGGTGCACAGACCTAGGCCCTGATTTATGCCTTGTGGGCCTGATCAGGGTGAGAAGCTATTAGAAATGAATGATCATTTTGACTAAAAAAATAATAAAGACATTTGCACATCCACAGGTACAAGGAAAAGAGTTGTTGACTGAAGAGGTGACAAGAGATGTTACCCTGAATTAGACTTGGCCCCAGGCAGAGGAAGGTTGACAGACCAGGGCCGGGAGAGCACAGTGAGGTTTTAGTCTCACTTCCCCGTGACTCTGGAGCACTGTGTAAGTATTAGTGCTGCTATGCCATGCATAACAGTAATAGTCAGCGTCGTCCTCAGGCTGCAGCCCAGAGATGAGCAGAAGCCCTGCATTGGCCGAGGCATCTTTGGATCCAGAGAAGCGGCTGGGGACCCCGGCGCCCTGGTGTTTATCTGAGTCTGACTTGAAACTCAGAAGATACCGAGGCTGGCTCCCTGGCTTCTGCTGGAGCCAGCGGATAACAGTGTCACCAAAATTGAAGTCACTGCTCAGAGTACAGGTGAGTCTGGCTGTTGCTCCAGGAGATGCAGAGACGGAGGGCGGCTGAGTCAGCACAGGCTGGGACAGGGAACCTGCAAACAGATGGCACATGGGGCAAGGAACAAAGGAAAGTTTCTCAGGGCTTGAGCCAAAGTGGCTGACACAGGGTGGACGGCTGCCCCGTGTCTGTGAGGTCTGTCCCTACCTGTGACGTGAGAGAGGAGTACAAGGAGGAGAGGAGTCCAGGCCATGGTGCCCACAGCCCCTGAGCCCACAGTGGGGCTGGGCTCCCCAGGCCTCCTTTTCTTTCCAGCCTCTGCCACAGGAGGGGCTTCCATGCAAATGTGAGTCCCTCCCCTGAGTGCCAGCCCCTTTCTGGGCCCTATTGCTGGAGCTCAAATCACACCCCAGGCTGAGGAGACTGGATGTTGGCCTCACCCCTTGACAGAGCCCTGGGATGACCTGCTGAGACAACCCAAAGGACCCTCTCAGGGGACTCTGACACGCTAGGGCAGGCACAGCTGCGGAGTCTCCATCCAGGAGCACAGGGCCCAGCCTGGAGGCCCTGGATTCTGAATGAATAGTCTCACTCAGTGGTTGTGTAGGGGTCACAGGCCAACCCAACAGTGCCCCCTCCTGGCCAAACACTTTAAAGTGTGAAATTCATAAAAATCAAGAGAGAACCTCTATTAAAAATGGAAAAGGGAGCCCACTGTATGGGAGAACATATTTGCCCATCAGACATCTGAAAAGGGGTTAATTTCCAAAATATATAAAGAACTCATACAACTTCACAAAAGGAGGACAAACAATCCAATTTAAATATGGGCCAAGGACCTAAATAGACACTTTTCCAAAGAGGACATACAGATGGCCAAGAGACACATGGAAAAATGCTCAAAGTCACTAATCATCAGAGAGATGCAAATTAAAATGACAATTAGGTTTCACCTCACACCTCTCAGAAAGGCTCCATCAACAAATCAACAAAGGACAAGTGCTGGCGAGGGTGTGGAGAAAGGGGACCCGGTGCACTGCTGGTGGGGAAGCAGACTGGTGCAGCCACTATGGAAAACAGTGTGGAGGTTCCTCAAAAATTAAAATGGAACTGCTAGTTGACCCAGTGACCCCACTTCTAGGAATGTAGCCTAAGAATCCGGAAATACCAATCAGAAAGAATATATGCACCCCTATGTTCATAGCAGCATTATTTACAATAGCTAAGATCTGCAAGCAGCCCAGGTGCCCTTCAGTAGATGAGTGGATAGAAAAGCTGTGGGGCATTCACACCAGGGAACACTATGCAGCTGTAAAAACGAAGGATCTCTTACCCTTTGAGACACCATGGAGGGACCTGGAGAGTATTATACTAAATGAAATAATCAAGTTGGAGAAGACAAGTACCACATGATCTTACTTATATATGGAATCTAATAAACAAAATAAAATGAGGAACAAAATCGATTCAAAGACATGGAAGCATGGGACAGACTGACAAATCTCAGAGAGAAGGGGGCAGAGGGTTGGAGGAGATTAACCAGAGAGCTTCTGTGCATATATGCATAACCCATGGGCACAGACCATAGTGCAGTAGGCCTGGAGGGGAAGGTGTCAATGGGAAAAAAAAGGGACATCTGTAATTCTTTCCAAAATAAAGATACATTTTTAAAAAATAGATAAAATACATACTTACCATGGAAGACACAAAATTGGCTCCAGAAGAAATAAGGTAATTAAAAAGACCAATTTTAGTAGAATACTTTTTAAAAATGTAATGCAACTCCTCCACTGAATAGCATATGATACAGACATTTTCACAGGGAGCCTCTACCAAACCTTCTGAGATTAGAAGGGTCTATTTAGTTGCTTCATAGTTTTTACAATATTTAAAAGTAAGGAGAATGTCATAGTATTTGTTGTGATATTGATAAACACACCTTGTGCATAATTTATACCAAAAAGGCAATTGCAGACCAATAACATTAAATATTGCTACAAATATTTAAAATAAAATATTAAGGGATCGCACAGGACCAGGTAAATAATTTTATACACTATTATGAAGGGTCATTTATTCCAATGATACAAGTTTTGTTTCATATTAAGAAATGTTTTAATATAAAAAATATCAAATCAGCATTAAATATGATCATATTGTCTCTATTGATGGGGGGAAAGCCTTTCAGAAGATTTAACACCAACTCCTAACAAGCCATAAAGACGCAAACCTATGCATTGCTAATATGGTAAGAAACACTCCCTCCCACATGCGTAACTTGGCACTAAATGCAGCATCTTAGTTAATGAAATGGGGAAAGGGGCATTTCCACAAAAATCAAGAACAGGCAAAGGTGACCTTCATCTCCAATATCATTCCCACCATTCTTCAAATATTAATAAGTTAAACAAGAGAAATCTCTATTCAGGTCTCAGCTTTGAGGCGAACAGCCAAATAGACACTCTTAAAGATCCAAATGCATGGTATGGCCTAGACACTCTGGTGCTGGCGGAGTGATAGCAGGGATCCCCTGTGACTAGCATTGGTAACAATCAGTGCCAGAGGCATGATGGGTGGAACCTGAGGGGCAGAGGGGAGGTCTTGGCCCACCTGCCAGGAAGGAAGAGCATCTTGAAAGATCTGAGTTATCACCCCAGGTCTGATGTGACAATCTGCCTGTCACTCAGGCTGCATCACATTTTGGGAGCATCTGTCTCACAGCCGGAATAACCCACTTGCAGAGGCTTCTGGTGCAGAAAGGGGTGACCTTCTGCCCAAGTGACCAACACACTGAGCCAGGGGGTTGTGAGTCTGGTGTCACAAGACCTGCTCCATATGGAACTGAGAAGTCAGATCCCATCAGACCCCAGGTGCTCCTTTTCTTACTATTTCAGGGACTCACTCTTTCAGGGACTGACGGTAGAAGACTCCAGGACATTCTAGAGGCATCTTGAAGCTTTGTCTCCTGAGGTCCCACAGTGGGAATTCTGACAACAATTCTTATTCTGGTTCTTATTTTCAGGACAGACTTTCCTAGCAGCCCTCTTCCTCTTTGAAAATGCGTCCTGGGTGCTCCTTGTCTGTCAGCTTCACCACGTATCAGATTTGGCTCGGTAGCCAGGTGCTGGGGTCACAGCTGTGTTCTCACCACAGGTCACTCAGTTAACTGTCCACAGCGCCCCCTGCTGGCCCTCGTGTACTTAGCACCACGTCAGAAATTCAATGTCAGCATCCTGCCTGAGGGAGGGGCACACCCTACCTAATCATTGCCCTTTTCACCGCCCCTCACAAATGAAAGGGTGTCTCACTAGGGCCCCTCACTGGGCTGCACCCTCCTTACCACACTGACCTCTCCGTTCCACAGAGTGGCCTCCTGAGAAGGTGGCCTCCCTGGTGTGCCTTCAGTAGCTTCCATAGTGGAGGTAGGAGCGCAGAGAACTGAGCCCTCCAACAAATCTGTCCTGCTCTCAGCTCAGCAGAGGGACAAATGCTGTGAGCCCAGCAATGGTTTCATTATTTGGGAAGGTGACCTTCCTCTCAGTTGACCAGACAAAGGAAGCAGTCTGAGGGTTGGAGGGGACAGCAGGCAAAGGGGTTTGAAAAGGCAAGTTCCAGCTTCCCAGTGGCCTCCTGTTGACATTTTAGAAGTGAACTGATAGATTCAGAAACATTCAGGGAGATTCCACAGGATTCTGAGAAGCCTGAAGATTGCCCAGGAGACTGCACCACAAGTGTGGGGCCTGTCACACTGTGCTCAGACTTCTCTCCTGCAGTGACTGCCTATTGGCGATCCTGTTCAGTGGCGATCCTGTTCAGTGGCGGTCCTAAAGTGTGAACAGTCAGGAAAAGCTCTTCTTTACCCCGTGTAGCCAGGCCAGGGGGTGCAAGCGAGGACTGAGACAGGGCTGGGTTCTGATATAGACACGAGTTCAGTCTTCATACACTGGTCCCCTTTCATCCAGGTGAGCACCAGGATAGAGGTTAAACTTCTTTGTAACTGATGGGGCCTCTGGGACTCTGGAAACTAATGGATAACAAAGTCTTTACATTCTAACCCACAAATCTGTGGTTTCCTCATAATTTTGTCTCCCCGTTACCAACTTTGAGGCTGAATTATAGCATTAGACTTATATTTTCCAGAATGGTGTTGGCCAGGTCAGCCCTGTTGCTTTCAGTGGAAACTAGAGGGGTTTCCCTGAGTTCTGCTGATACTAGATTATCTTGTGCCCCCCAACACTGAAGTCACTTCTCAGGGTGCAGGTGAGTCTCCCAGAGGGTCCAAGCATGCAGAGAGGGAGGGTGGCTGAGTAAGGACGGGTTGGGACAGGGAATCTGCAAACATAGACATGAGTATACAGTTTTCACATATATATATATATATATAGCTTAAGATTACCAGGCAAACAAAGATACTCTTCTCAAGGACATCATTTGGGGGCTCAGAGGAAGCTTCCCAGGAACCAAAGCAAAGGCCAGACCTCATTTTCAGTAACGTTGACTCTGTATCACCCCATGGATTGCAGTGCACATGGATTATCTCATGTATAGTCGGGATGTGCCTGGGGGATAATTTCTTGCTCAGTGATTCATGGAGGAGCCACAGCTCTATCATAGGAGGGGATGTGCGAGAACAGTAAGGGACTAAGCCTTGTGACAGATTCCACTTGTGATGAACTAAACTAACAGCATAAGGCTCTCAAATGCTGGAGACAAGGTGACAGAAACATCAATCCCTCGGCTGTTGTTGGACACAGATAATTAAAGAGATCATCAAACATGGAAAGTGGGTCTCAGGCCCCAGTATTTGGGCCTAAAACACACAGGAAGCAGCTGGCTTGTCAGAGCAATGTGGTCGACCCAGGGGAGCCGCATTTCAAGAGGACAGCAGGTTTTTGTCTCAGTTCCCCACAGGCCTGGAGCACTGTGCGAGCACTGAGATTGTCATCATAGGTCTGGCAGTAATAGTCGGCCTCGTCCTCAGGCTGCAGCCCGCTGATGGTCAGCGTGGCCGAGTTGCCAGACTTGGAGCCAGAGAATCGGTCGGGGACACCTGAGGGTCGTTTGCTACTATCATAGATGATGGTTTTGGGGGCCTTTCCTGGGAGCTGTTGGTACCAGTGCACATAATTACCCCCAATGTTGGAGCTGCTTCCAGTGCAGGAGATGGTGACCTTCTGGCCAGGGGCCCCAGACACTGAGGACGGCTGAGTCAGCACAGACTGGGCCCAGGATCCTGGAAGAGGGGGAGACACAGACATGGTGATTCTGGGTCTAGAGACAGAGAAGAAAGCAGCAGCATGAGTCTTCCCAGGGCCCCATCCCCTGTCCCCACATCCAGTCACCTGTGCAGTGAGCGAGGAGGGTGAGCAGGAGAGGGGACCAGGCCATGGTGCAGATCCTCGCTGAGTCCTGCCTCCAGTGGCCCAACAGCTGAAGCAGAGCTGCCCCCAAACCTCTCCTTGCCCTCTTCATGCTCTGCAGGAGGGAGGGTCCCCTCATGCAAATGAGACCCCTCAGCTCTCTGACCCCTCCCTGGGCCCTGGGGCAGGCCCCTCTGTCTGAGGCTGTCAGGGGGGTGGGCAGGCTTAGGGTTGTGTGGGCTCAAGGGGAGGGGAGGTCACAGCTGTGAGCCCTGAGCACAGGACACAGGCAGCACCAGGTGGCTGGTCCCAGCTCTCATTTACCCCAGAACCCTCAGGAACAGGCCCTGGGTGCCCCCTGCTGTTCAGGCTGACACACACCATTGTGGGACATGGTGACCAGAGCCATCAGAGCTCCTGCCTCCCTGAGCTCTGGCCCCTGTTCTCCTGCCTTAGAGCAAGGCCAGGGGCGCCCTCCTGTAGCTTTCTCAGCACCTCAGGGCCCACTTTACACAGACACTCTAGGGCCAGTGTGTCCCTGCCTTCCTTGCTGCTCAGCGGCCAGGACAGGCNCCCTGTCCCCACATCCAGTCACCTGTGCAGTGAGCGAGGAGGGTGAGCAGGAGAGGGGACCAGGCCATGGTGCAGATCCTCACTGAGTCCTGCCTCCAGTGGCCCCACAGCTGAAGCAGAGCTGCCCCCAAACCTCTCCTTGCCCTCTTCATACTCTGAGAGGAGGGTCCATTTATGCAAATGAGAATCTCCATCTATTTGATCTCTCTCAGAGCCCTGGGCCAGGTCCCTCTGCCAGGGGATGGCCCTGGGTGTTTGCAGGGGTGGGGCTGTTTGGGGCCCAGGTTTGGGGAAATCACAGCAGTGAGCTCTGAGCAGATGGTACTAGGCATTGTCATGGGGCAGGTCCCAACTCTGATCACCACTGATCTCTCAGAAACAAGGCCCGAGCGCCCCCTAGAGTCCAGGCCCAGACACACCATTGTGTGATATGGTCACCAGAAGCCATCAGGGACAACCTCTGCCTTCCCACTGTTCTGTCCACTGCCCCCTGCCTTAGGTCCGGGCCAGGTGTCCCCTGTTGTGCCCTCCCAATTACTCCAGGGCATTTTTATGCTCTACTCAGCGTCCTCAGGGTGAGTCTTTCCACACCTCCCTTCGCTGTTCAGTGGTCAGGACTGAGGTGGTGTTTCCTACACAAACTCTTACTCCAGTATCAGGTCCAGAGCAGTGACCAGCCCCAGGAGGCATGTCCCTTCTGTGCAGAATCCAGATCCTTTCCTCTCTGGTGACTAGAGGTTTCTTTCCCTGTGGATTCCTCAAGAGAACTGAGGAGAAAGGGCTCCTTCTCTCTAGAGATGGAGAGGTTGTGAAGAGAAAGCCCTCATGTGCATTTCTGAGCGATGCTGTGTAAAACTTTATTATCTGTCAATATTCCATCTGCAAGAAACCGTAGCTGTCCCCATACTGTGAGCAGCGATTTACTCCCAGGGATCTATTCTCAAACTCACAGTCAAAAGTTGGCATTTATCTGAGAGTGAAAAGGGAAAATATGCAGAAAGTTCTAAGCAAAAATTTGTTAAATTTTCAAATTGCTGTGATAAGGTTTATATATTAGTCACCACTTACCCAACTTAAAATGCATGTATGTTATTCTATATAAAAGTCACCTCATTAAGGCTGATTTTAAAATTCAGTGATGATAAATATTGATGGAAATTGTCATTAGAATATCAGTCGAAAAAAAAATATTGGTTGAAAAGCATTGGAAATGCAGTGCTTCTGTTCTTGGTTGAAAAGGTGTATATAAGTGTTTTCCTAAAATCGCCTCATATTTTAGTCGTGAGTTTAGGTTTGTATACTGTGATCTGGTCCTGCAGATTGGAAATCCCGCATTGGTGCCCAGTGAAACCCCATGAGGAGCTCCTTTCTATGAACTTCAGAGTCATCCCACTAATAGCAAAACCAACCCCAGACAGAGCTTCCAGGGCAGAATGATGTTGGTTTCAGACTTGTCTCTGGGGTAGGCACAGCTGTAGTCCCTGGCACTTGTGTCCAGCATTTTCAGGATAGAGAAATTGTTCACTCAGCCTCCCAATGACAGCCACCCAAGGCCACCTGGTTTCTCTCAATGATCCCATGTCTGAATGTGAAAAAGTGCAAATACAAAAGGGAACTATAGCCCTTATGTCACAAGCCCTCAGTTGGGAAAGAAAACTTTCCAGCAGAGGTTCAGCTTGACTGGCAGTATCACAAGCGGTGATTGACTGAGTGACCAATCAGATCTGAGAGGACAGGGAAGGTTGTGTCTCATGTCCCCATGGACTGTGACCTCCGTGTGAGCAGCACTGAGGCTGCTGTCCCAGAATGAATGTAATGATCAGTCGCATGTGCTGACTGGAGGCCAGAGGTGATCGGGAGGGTTCAGGGCAGACAGGGAGCAGAGGTCACCCGGGGACCCTGAGCACCCAACTCATCCCAGTGGAGCAGGCGTTCCGGGCACTTCCCGGGCCACATGGTACAAGGACCCAGTTACACTCACTCACTGGTGTTTCCAGCTGAGGGAGATTCTGCCTCTTGTTGATTNACTCTGAGAGGAGGGTCCATTTATGCAAATGAGAATCTCCATCTATTTGATCTCTCTCAGAGCCCTGGGCCAGGTCCCTCTGCCAGGGGATGGCCCTGGGTGTTTGCAGGGGTGGGGCTGTTTGGGGCCCAGGTTTGGGGAAATCACAGCAGTGAGCTCTGAGCAGATGGTACTAGGCATTGTCATGGGGCAGGTCCCAACTCTGATCACCACTGATCTCTCAGAAACAAGGCCCGAGCGCCCCCTAGAGTNAGAGAAGCCTGAAAACTCACTGTCCTGACCAATATGTACTCGGAGAGAGCAGTGAGCTGTGCATGTGTGTATATGTCAATATATAAAAATTTATATATNGTTTGGGGCCCAGGTTTGGGGAAATCACAGCAGTGAGCTCTGAGCAGATGGTACTGGGCATTGTCATGGGGCAGGTCCCAACTCTGATCACCACTGATCTCTCAGAAACAAGGCCCGAGCGCCCCCTAGAGCCCAGGCCCAGACACACCATTGTGTGATATGTCACCAGAAGCCATCAGAGACAACCTCTGCCTTCCCACTGTTCTGTCCACTGCCCTCTGCCTTAGGTCCGGGCCAGGTGTCCCCTGTTGTGCCCTCCCAATTACTTCAGGGCATTTTTATGCTCTACTCAGCGTCCTCAGGGTGAGTCTTTCCACACCTCCCTTCGCTGTTCAGTGGTCAGGACTGAGGTGGTGTTTCCTACACAAACTCTTACTCCAGTATCAGGTCCAGAGCAGTGACCAGCCCCAGGAGGCATGTCCCTTCTGTGCAGAATCCAGATCCTTTCCTCTCTGGTGACTAGCGGTTTCTTTCCCTGTGGATTCCTCAAGAGAACTGAGGAAAAAGGGCTCCTTCTCTCTAGAGATGGAGAGGTTGTGAAGAGAAAGCCCTCATGTGCATTTCTGAGCGATGCTGTGTAAAACTTTATTATCTGTCAATATTCCATCTGCAAGAAACCAAAGCTGTCCCCATACTGTGAGCAGCGATTTACTCCCAGGGATCTATTCTCAAACTCACAGTCAAAAGTTGGCATTTATCTGAGAGTGAAAAGGGAAAATATGCAGAAAGTCCTAAGCAAAAATTTGGTAAATTTTCAAATTGCTGTGATAAGGTTTTATTTTAAAAGTTTATATATTAGTCACCACTTACCCAACTTAAAATGCATGTATGTTATTCTATATAAAAGTCACCTCATTAAGGCTGATTTTAAAATTCAGTGATGATAAATATTGATGGAAATTNTCAAGAGAACTGAGGAGAAAGGGCTCCTTGTCTCTAGAGATGGAGAGGTTGTGAAGAGAAAGCCCTCATGTGCATTTCTGAGCGATGCTGTGTAAAACTTTATTATCTGTCAATATTCCATCTGCAAGAAACCAAAGCTGTCCCCATACTGTGAGCAGCGATTTACTCCCAGGGATCTATTCTCAAACTCACAGTCAAAAGTTGGCATTTATCTGAGAGTGAAAAGGGAAAATATGCAGAAAGTCCTAAGCAAAAATTTGGTAAATTTTCAAATTGCTGTGATAAGGTTTTATTTTAAAAGTTTATATATTAGTCACCACTTACCCAACTTAAAATGCATGTATGTTATTCTATATAAAAGTCACCTCATTAAGGCTGATTTTAAAATTCAGTGATGATAAATATTGATGGAAATTGTCATTAGAATATCGGTCAAAAAATATATATTGGTTGAAAAGCATTGGAAATGCAGTGCTTCTGTTCTTGATTGAAAAGGTATATATAAGTGTTTTCCTAAAATCGCTTCATATTTTAGTCGTGAGTTTAGGTTTGTATACTGTGATCTGGTCCTGCAGATTGGAAATCCCGCATTGGTGCCCAGTGAAACCCCATGAGGAGCTCCTTTCTATGAACTTCAGAGTCATCCCAGTAATAGCAAAACCAACCCCAGACAGAGCTTCCAGTGCAGAATGATGTTGGTTTCAGACTTGTCTGTGGGGTAGGCACAGCTGTAGTCCCTGGCACTTATGTGCAGCATTTNCTGGGACTTGTAGTCCCTGGCACTTGTGTGCAGCATTTTCAGGATAGAGAAATTGTTCACTCAGCCACCCAATGACAGCCACCCAAGGCCACCTGGTTTCTCTCAATGATCCCATGTCTGAATGTGAAAAAGTGCAAATACAAAAGGGAACTATAGCCTTTATGTCACAAGCCCTGTGNCAGTTGGGAAAGAAAACTTTCCAGCAGAGGTTCAGCTTGACTGGCAGTATCACAAGCGGTGATTGACTGAGTGACCAATCAGATCTGAGAGGACAGGGAAGGTTGTGTCTCATGTCCCCATGGACTGTGACCTCCATGTGAGCAGCACTGAGGCTGCTGTCCCAGAATGAATGTAATGATCAGTCTCATGTGCTGACTGGAGGCCAGAGGTGATCGGAGGGCAGACAGGGAGCAGAGGTCACCCAGGGACCCTGAGCACCCAACTCATCCCAGTGGAGCAGGCGTTCCGGGCATTTCCCTGGCACGTGGTACAAGGACCCAGTTACACTCACTCACTGGTGTTTCCAGCTGAGGGAGATTCTGCCTCTTGTTGATTCTGACACTGAGGCAGGAAAGAGAAGCCTGAAAACTCGTTGTCCTGACCAATATGTACTCGGAGAGAACAGTGAGCTGTGCATGTGTGTATATGTCAATATATAAAAATTTATATATATATATATATTTTAATTGATTTCACAGAGAGGAAAGGAGAGGGAGAGAGAGAGAGATAGAAACATCAATGATGAGAGAGTCATTGATCAGNATCAGGAACCCTGGAGTCTGTTTTGAGCCACTGGGTCATAATTCTTATTCAGCAAGTTGCAGGTCACAGAGTCTTACATTGGAGTGAGGCGAAGATCACAGACATGTCACCCCAGGTGCACACTGCAGGTGACAGCACAGGCTCAGCACTCAGTGGCACCCATCTCAGGTTTCCTGCACCCACACAGTGTCCCTCAGCCCCTAGGGCAGCATCTCCAGACTCGGTCTATGTCTCTTCTGACACTAAAGCTACAGCCTTTGTCTCACCTTGATCTGGTTCCTGTAAATTCACATCTGCTCCCTTCACCTGCCCTTCCCAGGTACAGGCAGGTCTCATGATACTAGAGAAGGATTATTCCAGGACCACTGTTTCATTTATGTCTTTTCTTACAGTTTCCATGTCTTTGCTGAAATGTTCTACCTCATTTCTTCATTGAAAATATATTTTACCTGAAGACAGTGCAGTTAGTTTTTCATTCAGTTAGTAGAAAACAGTTATCTTAACAATACTGAGTATTTTGAACCACAAACTAGGCTATATACTTAAGTTTAATTTTCCTGCCGTGTTTTGCACTTTTTACTGTATAAGATTTTCTTTTGTTTTTCCAGATTTATCCTTAAGAATTTTATATTTATGTTGTTACAAATAGTACTGTAACCAAACAAGTGGGTTCTGCTTCCTGCCACAACAGAAGCCAGACTCATGAGACAGGTGCTGTTGTAAAAGGAAAACTGTTTTTCCAGTTGCTGTGTGACTTGGGAGAAAGGTGGACTTCGATCTCAAAGACCACCTCCTCTTCCTTCTCAAGCCTATGGTACTTATCAGGATAGGGAAGAGAGGGCATTTTTTTCTATCCAATTATCTTGTTTTCAGTGTGCTCAGCTCTGGCTATTCATTTTTATGGCTTTTGGCTTGCTCAGTGTAAGAACTTTCTCCTGCACCATCTTGGCCAATGCAAGACACTCCTCAGCACTCCCTGACTGTCTAAAGTAGTGGTGAGGGGAGGACTGCAGGAGCTGTCATCAAAAAACCTGGAGATGCTAATAACCCTCATCCCACCACCTGACATTGGACATGGCATCCAAGGAATTGGTTGGAGTCTGTGGGGCACCCCTGGATCACGATGCAGCCAAGTCCTCTGTGCAGCCCGGTGCAACCCACCTCTCCAAAGTGGCCAGCCAGTCCCATGCTCTGACTGATGGCTGCCCAAGGGAACAATACTGTTGTTATTTTTTAAGTTTTGATAGCTCACTGCTAGTATATAGAATATAATTTATTTTTGCATGTTGGTTTGTATCACAGAACTCAGATTTGAGCACTCATACCAGAATCATATCTTAGCCCTGAGCTGAGCTTGGCCAGAATCAATCTAATTTGACCTCATCAAATGTCTCCAATGGGAAATTTTTATCTCTGAACAAGGAAATTTGTCTGTGAAACCATGAACAAAGCAAGAATATATGAGCTATAAGTTAATCTAAAAGTTGAAGAAAAAGATGTGACATTGTCAAAATTATTGGTCCTAAGAAAATCAAGTGCTGGATGAAGATCTGACAACACAAGTTACTGCTGAGCTAGACTTGGTCAGAGCCACCAGCTGGGGTGACAGTGGCAGGCCAAGAGAGCAGAGAGGAGGTTTTGGTCTCACTTCCTTGTGGGTCTGGACCACTGTGTGAGTCTTAGTGTTGCTGTCCCATGCAGCACAGTAATAGTCAGCGTCGTCCTCAGGCTGCAGCCCAGAGATGAGCAGAAGCCCTGCATTGGCCGAGGTGTCTTTGGATCCAGAGAAGCGGCTGGGGACCCCGGCGCCTTGGTTCTTACTTGAGTCTGAGTAGTAAGACAGGAGATACCGGGGAGGGCTCCCTGGCTTCTGCTGGAACCAGTTTATCCAGTAGCCACCAACACTGAAGCCACTGCTGAGGGTGCAGGTGAGTCTGGCTGTGGATCCAGGAGATGCAGAGACGGAGGGCGGCTGAGTCAGCACAGGCTGGGACAGGGAACCTGCAGGAACAGACACTTGTCAGTGATGGGCAGGGACCAGGGGACCTTTCTCAGGAGATTGAGGGTGAAGGGAATAAACTTGGGAACTGAGGCCTGGTCCCCGAGCCTGTCCTTACCTGTGCAGTGGGAGAGGAGTACGAGGAGGAGAGGAGTCCAGGCCATGGTGCCCACAGCCCCTGAGCCCACAGTGGGGCTGGGCTCCCCAGGCCCCCTTTTCTTCCCCACCCTCTGCCACAGGAGGGGCTTCCATGCAAATGTGAGTCCCTCCCCTGAGTGCCAGCCCCTCCCTGCGCCCTGGGGCTGCAGCTCAGCTCACACCCCAGACCCAGGAGGAGGGAGGTTGGCTTCACCCCCTGGGAGAGCTCTGAGCATAAACACCTTCTGAAACCCCACAAAGGTTCCCTGCTCAGGGGGCTCTGCCAGGGCAGAGAGGACACAGCTGCTGCTTTCCATTCAGAGAACACAAAGCCTGACCATCAGGCACAGGCTCCTTGGAGTAAATAAATGGTCCTCACTGAGCAGCCTTGTATGGACCTCAGGGCAGTCCCACAGTGTCACCTGCTGGTCATATGTGTACAAAATAAAAATAATAATAATGCTAAGATTTCTAACCTTTATTTAAAAATAAATGAAATGTATACTTGCCTTGGAAGACACAAATTTGGCTACATCAAGAATTAAATAAATAATACACCAAGTTTCTTATAGAAAATGTGGACCTACTTCACAGAATGGCAAAAGATACAGGCTGTTTCTCGGAACCATCTACCAGGTCTTCAGAGATCAAGTGGTTCCGATTTCTTTTCATCCAAGTGTTTCTGTAACAATTCAAAAGATATAAAAGATCCTTGTTCATTTGAAAGCAGTTATCACAGTGACAAATGCTTCCAAAAAATGAGTCAGGGAAAAAAATTACAGAATGATAATGCTAAATGTTCGTACAGATGTCCAAAATGAAATGTTAATAAAGAGGTTCCAATGCCAGAGTAAGGTGATGTACAATTACTAACTGTCAGTTCATCCAATGGTACATGTTGGGTGTTACTTTAGGAAACATGTAACATAATACAATGCAATAGTACATCAATAGATAAGATAAAATTGTCTCACTTGTTAATGAAAGAGCACTTGACCAAACTCAACACCAAAATCTTATAAAAGCCACATCAAACTAAACACACACACGCACAAGACTATCTCTCACACACATATGTAACTTCATCCTAAGGCCAGCATCTGAGAAATGGTATTGTGAAGGGCGACATGTCCACAAAGATCAGGAAGAGGCAAAGGTGACTTTCCCCTTTATTATTATTCAAAAGTGTTCTGCAAGTGTCAGACAATTCAATAAAGAAGTGAAATCAATAGTTAGGACTCGGCATTGATGGGAACAGACAGGTAAAAATTCTTACAGATCTAAATGCATGATATGGCCTTAAGCTCTCTGTGCTGGTGCAGAGTGACAGCAGAGATCTTCACTAACCAGCTACTAACTGTAACTGGTCCTGGTAGCAGTTAGTGACAAAGGAGCAAAGGACAGAGCAAGAGGGGCAGAGAAAGGCCTTGGCCCACTTGCTCAAGGGTGAAGAGACACCGTGTAACCTCTGAGCCATCGCCCCAGGTCTGAAGTCACAACCTGCCTCCCATTCAGGCTGCATCCTAAGTAACATCAATCATCCCATGTATGGGGCCTCTGTCTCAGATTTAGAGCGACCCCCAACACAGTAACTTCCAGTGCAAAAGGGGGGACATTCTGCCCAAGTGAACAACACACTGAGACAGAGGGTTGTGAGTCTGGTTTCACAGCACCTGCTCCTTGTGGAACTGAGAAGCCAGGTCCTATGTGACCTCAGGGGCTCCTTTGTGTAAAATGTGACAAAGGCTCTAGACAAGCACTGAGAGAGAAAGACTCCAGGTCATGATGGTGACACCTCAGAGCTCTGCCTCCTGGGGTTGCGTGGTGGGGATGCAGCCCACGAGCTGGGTCTATCTTCTGGGAAGATTTTCCAGAAGCCTCTTCGTCCTTGGAAATGCATTCTGGCTCCTCATTGTCTACAAGCTCCAACCTGTCCCAGGTTTGGCCAAAGACCTGAATTTGAAACATTGTGGTGTGGGAACTAGAATGTGGTGGAATCGGTAGCTGAGGCCATGAGGAAGCTGAACAGACACCGCGAACCTGCGAGAAGATCGATCCAGTCACAGTGCAGCCCAGGCTCAGCTCAGAGAAGCCTCAGTGAGCTCAGACACCTGTCCCCTGTCACCCACTTTGTGCCTTCCCACTTGGGACATACCTTTTCTTGCTTCGCTCAGGACGCCCACAGCTCCCCTTCCCATCAGAAGAACCCCATCCCCACCTGCTCTCCCTGACTTCTGATCCCTAAGACAGGGACCTTCATTTTGCTGACTGCTGGCTGCTGTTGGGTCGTCATAGTGGAAGCAGGTGGCAGTTCTGGATTCCACATGGGGTGGGATGTCTGAGGCTGCCACCATGGCATGTGAGGAAAGGAACTCTTCTCTGAGCTGCTCTTGCATAGCAGGCAGTGTTCTCACGTGGATTTTTCTGGAGCCATGAAGGAAACACAGCACAGACTCCTCTTTCCACCTGGGAACCAGGGAAACTGAGTCTCTCCCATTATTCCCCTTTATTCTTGGGCATGGGGTCAATTCATGAAAATATGTCCCTGCCATTCCCCGTGCCCAACCCCTGAATGACTTGGCTGGGTGCTGGTTCTAGTCTTGTGGAGAGGAAGAGATGATCTGGAGTTTTCCCATGGGCTGAGGGAGACCAGCATCTAGTTTATCAATGGGGTTAGAGCAGTGACAACTGGAAAAAGTCACATGTGGGTGAAGTTCATTGCTCCCAGTCCCATTAGAGCACCCTCAGCTTCTTACATAAGAGGGGAGGGTGGTGTGGAGGGAGGGGTTGGTATCAGTCTCACTCAGTTTTAACAAACCCACAGCACCTCCTGGTGGCCACAGGACCACAACCCCATATTTACACTGTGTAGCAGACGCTTGAAGGGTGCTAACCAGTTTCTGATAACTTTTCCTACATCTAGAGAGACAATATGGGGTGGGTGGAAAATTCAATCCCCAGGCACCTTCCCTTTGGAGTCACCATACCCTGGAGCAATCCCCAGTTGGCCTGCTTTATTCAGGCCTTGTTCCTGCCATATCTTGCAGGGACATCTGTCATCTCACTGTTGCTAGGTCATGGCTCTTACTCTCCAGCTGGGTTTCAAGACGCTCTGCTCACAAGTTCATAAGTTATCTCTCTGTTAAATATACACCAGGTGACCCTGGTTTTGAATTTTCAGTAAGTCAGATATTTCCTACAGGATCCCTGATTAGCAATTATTAATCATAATTGGCCACAAATGGGATCATTTTGGTGAATAAATCTCCTGTACCATTTAAGAGGCAAAATTCTCTCCAGTGTTGTCATCCCAGAGAGAGTCTGTGTACTGAGCAAGGAGCTGAGGCCACGTAGACTCGGCAAGGACCAGAATGTCCTATTAGCGAGAGTGCAGACATTCTCTGAGTGACAGCTCCATGGCAGTGCTGCAGGGTCTCAGTAGTAGGACATAAACGGCTGGAGTTGTCACCCCAATACAGGCTGACAGGTTTGCCTCACTTCCCCAGTGGCCTGGCACAGTGTGAGCAGTGACACGGTCACCCTATATCTGACAGTATGAGCAGCTATATTCTCAGGGAGAAGATCACAGTCCCACAAATAACCTGAGTTCCCTGGGACATCTCTGGACTCAAAGAATCAGCTGGGGCACCAGAGCCCTGGCTGTTACTGGAGCCTGAGTAGACTCTCAGGAGATACCGGGAAGGGCCCCTGGTTTCTCGTGGTAAAGTGGTAACCGGGTGATAATTTTTGCCACCAATGTTGGGAAATCTACGTACTTTCTGTTCAAATTTGCTGTAAAGCAAAACCTTCAAATTAAAATAAAGTCTAATTAAAGAGGGGAAAAAATGGGAAAAAATTAAAGCTCTGTGGAAACCGTACCCTAAAGGGGAAAACAATCCAGAAGGGGACTTTGAGAGCTCTGTCAGGTGCAAGAAAAGAACGAAGAACCAGCTCATCATAAGAATGTGACAGTAAGTGAGGGAGAGAGTTCAAAACGGTATCTCTAACTTGCACAACAAGACTGTACTTGTTAATAACAAAATAAAACAACTTACTAACTTTTGAATAAAAACGCAGGAATACACAAAATAAGACTTTTAGAAAAAAAATTTAATAAAAATTTAAGTGTTAACCTCTGTAGATAAAAAGACATATTGATCTAATAAGATAAAGTTGTTTCCATTACCAAAAAATTTTTAAAAGTCCAATTTTCTTAAAAAAAATAAAAATATTATTATAGAACTATTTCACAAACAGGCATAAGATATAGATAGTTTCACCAGGAACAGTGACAAATCTTCATGGTTCAGATGGCTTTAATTAGTTGGATTCATATATTTATATATATAATATTTTTCAAAAACTTTAAAAAAATTGGAAAATTTCCTACATCTTGTATAAAGCAGGTATAATAGTACTAACTATACCTGACAAATAAAATACAGAAATAAGGAATTTACAGACCAATATTATGAAATATCAATGCAAATGTTCTAAATAAAATATTAACAAATATATTCTAATATTAGAATAATAAATTGATACACCATCACCATAGTGATTTATTCCATGTCTACAAGTTGGGCTCCATATTGATAAACCCTTTAATGTTATATATAATATTAATAGATCAACAGATAAAATCATGTTATCACAATGGGTTCTAAAATGTCTTTCACAAATGTAAAGCAAATTCTTATTTAAAATCACATTACATTAGAAGCGGATACTTTATAACATGGTAAAACACACTCTCTTCCACACACATGACTTAGTCCTACAGCCAGCACCTTAGGCACGGAAGGAGAACATTTCCACAAATATCAGGAACAGGCCAAAGTGACTTTACCTCCGTTATCATTCAACATTATTCTGCACATATAAGACAACTCAATTAAACCAGAATAAATTAATGTTTAGATATTTGCATTGGTGGGAATGGACAAGTGGTCATTCCCAAAGCCCCAAATGTATGAGACAGCCTGAGATACTCCCATGCCAGCGCAGCAGGCATGGAAAAAATGAG